CGGACGAACCAGCAAGAAGGCTTATGCTCGCAAGTAGGTCGTGTAACAAGCACAGACCACTGATGGTAATACAGTGTTTCCCAAAAGTGCCAACAGCACCACTGCACTCCACTGGTACTATCCCGCAAGTTCTACCAGATAGGCGGGACCCAAGAGCCAGAGCTCAAATCCTGCAAGCACAGCCAGGAGCCTTACCAGGTGAGTACAGAACCAACCCTACAACCCCCACACCTCACAACATTAAAAAGGGAGGGTCCCCTGAATGACTCCAGCCTGGGTTGGACATGCACATGAGGGGGACAGGAAGGGGTGATAAAGGGACAGTCACTGGTGTGGGAACGGTCTCAGTCGTACAAAATATACCTAAATAAAGACAGGTATATAAACACCACCGCATCCAGCGCCAGGCCAAAAGACGCCAGACCGCAGAAACTCACCTGGCGAATGGTGGCACGAACTTGACACGACTCAACCGTGCCCAGAAGAACTTGGGAGCACCGCCAGAGCCGGACCCGCAGGAGAACGGAGAGGCGGAGGCGGTCCACACCCATGACAGGGAAAACCGCGGTGTCCTCCCCACAACTGGGAACCAGGACACCCCCGGCGCGAAGGGGCACATACCGCAGCCAGGGAGAAGAACGAGAGGCGAAGCACTGTACCAAAAAAGGGCGCAAAACCCCAGCACTGAAACACCGCCCAGACCAAAACAAACTCTACGGCGCATGCGCATAACACGCTGGCCGAACCGCACACCCTCCCTGCGGGAAGGCGCCAGCCAGGACTACTGCACGAGAAAAGGAGCCAAAAGAGGAAGCAGGAACAAGAAAACCGGCCAAAGAAGCAAAGAGCCCAAAAAGGAGCCCAACCGGGCGACAAGTAGCCCAACCGGGCGACAAGTAGCCCAACCGGGCGACAAGTAGCCCAACCGGGCGACAAGTAGCCCAACCGGGCGACAAGTAGCCCAACCGGGCGACAAGTAGCCCAACCGGGCGACAAGTAGCCCAACCGGGCGACAAGTACGAGGAGCCGACAGACGTTCCAATAATGCGGGAAGTAGCGAAAAACCTTCCCGTACCCTCGAGAACACAGAAGCCAACACTAGTCCCGAAGGCACACGAAGGCGCAGGCGCACCCAAGATCAGAAGTCACGCAGAACCCCATCGAACGGGGAAACATGACAAAGACACCGTCCCAAAAAGGGGGGGGGGGAGGAAACTTCCACCCACAGGACGGAACCAACCGACTCAAAGGCCAAGGAACCGAGCCCGGGGAGGTGCTGACGTCCAACAGCACGTACGGCGAGTGGGGAGGAAAGACCCCACTCCGCGTAACCACAAGCCCCGCCTAGAGGGGGATAAAAACCCCCACGGGGTCTAACGGGGCCAAGGCCCCCCCCAAGTCAGCCCCTCCCCAGCCCCGGGAACCTACACGACAGGCCCCGGGGCCGAGCCGTTCCCCTAAAGCCCCGGCCGTACCAGAAAACCGGGGCAGCCGTGAAAACACTAAGGAAGGGAGCCCACTGGCAGACTCATACAACACGGCTGGAGGAACAGGCCCAAATGCCCCCGTCACTACCCCGGAAGGGGAATTCCCCGAGACTGCCCGAGTCTCAACACCACCAAAAACCCCGCCCCAAACCTACAGACGGTAAGGAACCGGATGCAGGCAGGAAGGGTGAACCAGGGAAAAGACAAGGGGGCGTGGATGGAACCGAAGCAACCAACACCCCCAAGTCCCAAAACGAACTACAACGGGGCAGCCCCGGGGCTCCCGGGGAGGAAACCACGAGAACGTTGCCACCACCAAGGCTCAAGTGCAACGCCCCTGCTGCCCGCACCCGCTTTGTTAGCACAACTGGGTAACCGAGCCACAACGAGCAACCAAACTCGTAGGACTCCGGGTCGAAGGTGTCACCGACCCCACAGGCAGCAGACGGAGGCAAAACAGAGAGTCACCCAGAGACAAAAGGTGAGAGCAACCCTCAAACTCGCTGGAAGCGAGGGGGGGGGACTCTGGGGTCACATCCATCGGACCCGCGCGCCCCCAAGGGGTTTCCCAGGGTCCCGAGCGTTTACTTTAAGAGGACTCGCGCTCAGGTAATCCCAGGCAGGGTACTGCTAACCGGCACCCAAAGCTACCAAACAACTTTCTAAGAGCTGAACCCCCGGGACGTGTACACTCACGGGGACCTAGCAGGGGTACCACCAGAAAATACTCGGAACACAAGGGACACAAGGGCCAAGAACGAAGGCAGACCCCCCACCAGGTAGATAAACAAAAAGAAAAAGAAAACCCCGCAAGAGGACAGCGTACCCAAGCGGAACAGAGCCGGCCGCTATGATTGGTAAAGACAAGCTGCACAGTACCCCGCGCCCCACCAGTGCAAACACTGCCCCTTACTCTAAGGCGAACAAGGGAGACAGAACACCCGAGCACACAAAGAGCGGCCGAAAACCAAGCGGTAAACGGCCAAGCAGGGGCAGGACCCAAGGAACTTGTGGAAGGTGGCCCCAAGCCCCAAGGGCAGTACTTACAGGGCACCTAGGGAAGGGATCCCTAGGCGCATGCAGCCCGAGTACTGAAGAATCACTCCCGGCTCACGCACCACCTAGAAAACAGACACCACACTCTAGGTACAGTGCTGAAACAACCACTGGAGCCGGAGTACATAACCATTGCCAATAGCATCAGCCGAAGAACTGATGGGTGGATAGCCGGCGTGGGAGGTCTGGGGCTCCCCCTTCTTCCTCCCGGGGATGGGGGAGCTGCGCAGACAGCGGTGCGGTGACGTATGACGTCATACTAGTTTCCTCGTTTTCTGTTGAAGAGTTCTATCCACTAGTTCGGCTTAGGTAGCAATTTTCACCAGAATAGGGGTTTGTTTTGGAATGCTTACCTTTCTGGATGCTTGACCCGGTCGATGGCAGACATAGAATGCTTCCAACCACACGGGGGTTCCTATAGGCCATTGCTCCCCTTGCCTCTCTGAGGGGGGCCAGGTTCTGGCTCGTGGTCCCCGGTAGGCCCTAGAACTCCATACACATGACTGATGCCAAAGTCTGACATTAGCATATCAGCCGGTAAAGCTCCGGGGAGCCGACGGGGCTCCCCCCAGAAAATATGGTGCTCTTATCTAGCGACATTTAGATCATTCTTATCGAATGACATTTGACGACATTTCTTATCGTGACATTTAGAGTACTCTTATCTTATGCCATTATTACACTACACATTATATAACTACATATATAAATTCTGTATGCCATAATGAACAACTAAGCTCATTTGGTTAAAGTTATGATCTTGTAACCACAATCTAAGGTCAGCATAGCACCAAACATCTTTGCAGCAGCAGCAACGGCTGCAAAGATTTTTTTTTTTTTTTTTTTTTTTCACAATTTCAATGTGTCAATGGTTTTAACTTTCTTTTTGCAATAGTACAATAGTTTGTAATTTACGTAGCTAAATGTGTTGATCATCAAGTTAAAAAGTATGATGCTCATATGCAGTGACTGAACAATAACACTGTTGTTATTACACTATACACACACAACCACAGTATTTTTACAAATTATAATGAACCACTAATTAATTCTAGTTGGTGTGGTAATTAAATTTCAGCACAGTATTAAACCACACAAAGCAAGCAGATGTCAGTCACCCGACTCGGCAAGGTGCCTTCAGTATCCCCCCCCCCACCCCCTGTTTGATTCCTGTCACTAGCATTCTCTGATTCGTGCATCTCTAGCATCCTGATTACTGTATCCCTCCTGGCTCTTAGCCGAACCATTTTAACTAAACCATCTATTCACTGGAATCCTGAGTAACAATGCGAGCCCCATGTACCCCGTGGGAGTTTTGATTCTTACTAATGTAAAAGGGTCGGTACACACCCTTTAACCACGATACCACATTTTGAGCAGTGCAGTGGTTTAACAAGACAAAATTAGCCGTACATGCAAGAATAATTAACACAAGGAAAGTTTTCAACACTTCAGTGTTGTGCACTATTTTAGACCAGTACTAAAGGATGTACTTGCAACTCTCACCTGGTAAAGCACAGTAAAGAAATTGACAATCCAAAGACTTGTGATATTCAGATACAAAAAAATGAGCCATGAGAATAGGCCAAGTGAACTAATATGAACAATGGATAAGTAAATGATACAAATATGATAAATGAAACCAATAGCAATACAGACTGCCATGTGGAAGAACATGCAGAGCAAAGGTAAACATGTGAAAGCTGAAACAAATAGCCAGAGAAACAATGAAACAAGTGGAATGAGCGACAAACACAGGTGGTGGACCAGCCACCATTAACATTTTTAAGAGCAAATATCAGAGTACAGTACCGGAAAGTCATGAGGCACATGCACAATACCCACGAAGGGAGTTTCTGTAGCTGGATCTCGATCCCTGTAAACAACTATGTTTGCACCACAGTTGAGAATAAAATTCACACAAATCAAAGCAATTACTACAGTATGTATTCTTTCCAACATGTCACAATGGAACTAAATATAAACACTTACAAAAGCCAGTATAAAACTCCATTAATTTTTTTAATTATAAAGACTTCATTGGTGGTATTTGTAGATACAAACTAAATCTACATATCCAATATGTTCAACATTTTACACAGTTGCCTTTAATGGGAAAAAAAGTGAGCAAAATATAATGCCCATCTCTTCAAAGAGCAGAGAACATCCACAAGTTTCAGGAATATTAATGTTAGATGCACCAACATCCGGAGATCACTCAAGCGCCGCCTCCATAAAAATTAAGATCCTACTAAATAAGAAATGCCATGCTAATACTAGTTGACAAAACAGTTGCCATGGAAGCATGACCAAGTTAAGCTTTCAGCAGAAAACAATTATCCATAACTACTTTCATGTGAAAACTTATACTTATCACCTCGAACAGGAAAAAAGCGCATTTAAAGCTGCAATATGGAAGCACTGTAATTGGCATGCACATTTCAGAATTTAGTCTACCTTGTACAGCTTTGTTTCAAGTTCCCCATGAGAATCCTGCTGCTGGGTCGTCAAACAATAATTTGTGACACGACCATTTGTTAGATCTTCACTATGCAGACGAGTGACCGATCTTCGTCGTGGTAATGCTGGCTGAAGTATTGTTCCACTTGGTACCTCCTGTCATTGTATTCATTATACAGTAGTAAAATATGCAAATTGTCAATCTAAATACAAGCTAAAAAAAAAACTGTGGGACTTTAACAAGGAATCTAAATATTTGACATATCTAACCGTGATCTTTTTCAGAGCTTTCCACTGAGCTTGGGAGTATATATATATAGCCAATATCAGGAACTGAAATCTTTCTTGCATGTGCTTGCAAGTAGGAAGGATTTGCAAGCACAAAAACACTTGGTACAAAAACATTTCTGTCTTCAACTGTCATACTTGCTGAGAACTTGCAAGGCAGCCCAGAACAACCTCACAAAGGAGTGCCAAGAAACAAGAATGGGACAGGAAAGCAACTGGATAAGTGTCAGGAAAAGAGAAGGGATATGAAATGTCAAGATACTCCTAAGAGCAGACTACCAGACAGGTGCTTTGCACCCCTGCCCAGACACTTGTTCATCCACAAAATTGGACGACTCCTTATTGGCGACCCCAGTTGCCGGGCAATCCAATAATCTGTTTAAATCGCCACGCAAGTGGATATACACAGTACATTTAAGTTACCAGTACTTTAATGTCGGGTCCCAATAATGCAAAGTAGAGACCTTAATAGAATAAAGAATATGGTAGGAAATGCAAAATAAGCCCAGTACCACAGGTACAATTTGAAAATATGAACATGAAAAAAAATATTGTTAGAACTTAAAATTTTCCCAATATTATGACTAGTCCCTTCATTAAATACCTGCTTGACTTATCACCAGACAAGGCTGGCCCCAAGCTGACCTTTAAGATTTGAACTAAACTGATTACTGTTAAAAATGTAGTTACATTTACCTGTAAACTTTAGACGTCTAAAATTCCTCTAACAACTTTTGCTAAATTAGATTAATTCAAATATGCAGGTTCAGTGTGGAAATACTTAGTACTATGTACAAAACTATACATTAATCAGGTGTCAACATTGGGTTAATACCACCACCCACTGATACAATAGGGTAACAAAAATATTTATGAAATATATACAATTTGGCAAGTAAAATTGCCAATTATTCCAAAAAAATTAGACAAATCAGAAGATATAATCCAGATTTTGGAGGGGTCCACTAAATATATAGTGACATATGTATTTATCTATATACATATAAAACTGATTCTAGTTCAAAGCTTGTATTGGTATTGTTTACAAATGAGAATTTACTAAAACTAGACAAGAGTAGGAATTTTAGTGAAACTATACATTAATTTGAAAATATTACTAGGCTCTTCCCTCCCCAACCAGGTACAGTATATTAAAATAGTTAAAAAATTATATACCAGGTAACTACTTCAGGATAGCCCAAAACCAAGTGACCATCCTTTTACCAATATTCCTAGGTTTTCGTAGTTTCATGCTGATATACGAAGGTATTCTTTAGGCATAAAAAAAAGTTATTCCTACTGTAGATTTAATTACCTGGTAAATACAAATATTACCCCACACTACTATCTCCAATACAAACATGTTTACAAATGTTAACACCTGCATTGCAACACTCCAACAGCAACATCTGGTAGAAGTAGGGATAACTTGCTCAAGGAAGGGACCAGAAAACAAAAGGCTGGCATACTGAAAGGAAATCGAAATAAAATTCCTAAGAGATATACTATGGGTAACAGAACTCTAAAGGCTGCACAAGAAATGAACACCACCAAAAAGTGTAACGTGCCAGTTGACAAGTTTGTCCCAGTCTAAAAGTAAAATAAAAATGCAAATGAGGCATTCTTGGTTTAAACAGGGATGCAAGCTGGCAAATCAACCATGTATAAGAGCATTAAGAAACTACAGAAATAACAGGACACCAGAGAGTAACGAAAGATACCAGAGTAACGAAAGATACCAGAATAATGAAAGATACCAGAATGGCCCAATTCTTCCTCATGGCAATAGGAAGAAAGATGGTATGAAAACAAATAAAGCAAAGACCAAACTCAAATTGCTGCACAGCCACATCATAAGGAAAATGGCGAGTGAACAGATAATGAAACTGAGGATAGAAGGCAGACTGGTTCACTACAAATGACAAGGTGTGTGAGAAACCAAGATATTTCAGTAGGTCTCCATAATAGCGCAGCGAGAAGTTCTTGAACTGAAGGGAAAAATATCTAACTAGGCACCACTGGAGGAGTGAGATTACCAGTGGGGAGGTAAGGAAACATTTGTTTGAATTAGATGTGGCAAAGGCTGTAGGCTCAGACAATCTCACCATAGATACTAAAAGAGGGGACAGAAGCACTGTGCCTACCACTCATTGGTGTATAAAGTTGCTGATAACAGAACTGCCCAAAATATGAAAGAGGAAGATGACTAATTTCGCCCCAATATACAAGATAGACATGATGCACCGAACTACAGGCCAGTGTCCCTAACTTGCATACAATGCCAGGTGATGAAGAAGATTATAAGAGACACTAGCAGAACATCTGGAGAGAGAACTTTGTAACCCATCAACATGGGTTCAGGGATGACAAATCTTGCCTTACAGGTTTAATAAAATTCAATGACCAGGTCACAAAAATTAGGCAAGAGAAGGATGGGCAGACTGCATATATGTATGGATTGAAAGAGCCTTTGACAGGCAGTAGGAGACTACTGCACAAGTTGGAGAGGCAGCAGGAACAACATGTACTCCCTTATTCACTGGAGTGCCTTCCCTAAGCAACAGAAGACATCAAGTCATTGAGGTGTGAGGGCTCTGTGGCAAGACATCACTAGTGGAATACAAGTGTTCAGTCCTTGCCCGTATTCTGTTAATATATATAAATCATCTCCCAGAGGGAACCGACTCGCTCTTCTTTATGTTCACCGATGTGAAAATTATGAGGATTATGATATCAAGAGACTACAAGATGACCTAGACAAATTGATGGAATGATCTTAACAATTGCCTACTAGAGTTTAACTAGTAAATGTAAAGTAACAAAGCTAGGTGGAGGAAGCAGGAGGCCAGACAATGTACCAAATGGGAGAAAGTTCCTCCACGAAACAGAAAGATCTAGGAGTTGATCTCATCGAACTGGTCTTCTGAAGCCCAAATTAAAAGGATATCGGTGTATGCGAAGCTGGCTAACATCATAACTGCTTTTAGAAATTTGTGCAAGGAGTCATTTAGAACCTTGTATCCCACATGTCAGACCAGTCCTGGAGTATGCAGCTCCAGCATTGAGTTCATACTTTGTCATGCACAAGACAAAGCAGGAGAAAGTTGAAACATGTGCCATTAGACTAGTTCCAGAACTACGAGTTACGAGGAAAGGCTGCACAAATTGCACCTCTTGTCTCCCCTAACTCTTCCAGTGACATGATTACCACATACAAAATTCTCAGGGGATTGACAAGGTATTTAAAACAAATTACTTAACAGGTGGTTCTTGCACAAGGAGACAGGTGAAAACTGTACCCAAATGAGCCAGACATTAGAAACATTACTGTCAGTAGTTAATAAATGGAATGCATTAGGAAGTGATGTGGTGGCAGCAGAACTTCAGTTTCAAATGTAAATAGGATTGAACCCAATAAGCTGAGGAACCTATACACCAGTTAATTGACAATTGAGAGTGGGGGGGGGGGGCCCCCAAAGATCCAAAGCCCAATCAAGTACTGTAATGGTTAATATACTAAGTAACTAATATTCCCAATCAAGTACTGTAATGGTTATTATACTAAGTAACTAATATTAAACAAGTATTACCTGTACAGGCCGATGGTCAAGCCAGGTATCAGCCCCTTGAGACCTCGATCTCCTGTGTCTTAAGTTGACAACTGCTTGACCCTGAAACAATCATGAAAATCTTACCATGTGAACAATATACATTTTGTAGGATAACCACCACATAGTGTATCATGCAAAATGTAAAACATCAGTGGAAAAAAAATAAATTACAGTTTAAAAGAAAGTCAGTCACATCCTACTTCAATTCAAAATTACCTAAACTTTCACCCTTTAATGTGTCTTCATTATCTGCAAATGCCTCGTGTGTGAATTACCATACCTGAATTAACTCCGTTTGGTGAATTGTTGACGTTCACGCCATGATGTACAACTATTAGCTAAGCCTTTTAAAGGTTTATGAAAATTTAATCTTTTTAGGTACTGTACTATGATGCACGATATGACAACGTTAATTTTACACTCATTTAGGCATGTGTTAACCTAATTTTGTTAAAGCTTGCCGATGTGCTTTTTGTAAACATTGATATGTTTAGTTAAATACAGTGCTTGTACAGCACACCTAACTTACAGCAATGTTTCACTAATTTATCACATCCCTAAATACAATCTTTTTCAAGGCCTGGCAACCCACATCATCAAATGTCCAATAGTTTTAATTATCCATTATTTTCATATAGAGCTTCATTGAATAATTGTTTAATAATTTAAGTCGTAAAAATCCTTGCAACCCACACTTAGGGCATGACTGGTTTGGGTACCACTAACTTTTTTTTTTAATTTGTGGTAGGATCTCCAAGTTAGTCATCAAAAGAAGGCACCAGGCTGGAAGACTAAGCATTGCGTGTTGCAGAACTTTCATAAAAATTTAAATCGATACATAGGGCACGAACCCCATCAGATCCTATATAAAGCCCCCTTAGATCAAACTATCTACAATTATTCATTCTTATACTGTGCTCTTCAGCCTCCAAAGATCACTAAATCTAGAAAGACAACAACTGTACAATAATGATGTATTTTGGTGTGAACAAGCCAAGACCTAAAGCAAATCTGTAAAAAGAGAGGGTACTGGAGAGAGGAGGAAATTTCACTGCAGGTTTGGCAAGTTAATAAGTGAGCAAAAGTTGTTTCTCTCAAAATCTAGCTAAAAGCCAACATTTTGCTCCTTTCCTTGTTTAAAAAATTCAATTAATAGCCTCTAATACAATATATAGCAAGTACAATAAAAACTAGACATTCCAATATAGGAAGTAGACAATACATTCACACAACCAATTTTCCTACCTGACCTAACACTACAAACCCTATCATAAAAATTTATTGTTATTGTCTTCATGCTCACTTATAAAACAACTTCATTAAGCAATATTTACACGAGAACCAGACGCATGAATGACCCGGGTACCATCCAGCCTTGGATCTGAAGTGGATGGTGTAACTGTGCTTCTGGTGCTTGGACGCATCTGGGAGAGGTCCGAATCCGACGACGACGGAGGAGGACAACTTGCAGGACAAGTATTAGGCTTTCCATCTAAAAGCATTTCTTTCAGAGCCCTTACTTGTGTTTGGAATAGTATAGACTGAAAATTTCAAATTAAGATGAGCAACAAATTCTAAATAAAAATCCACAAATGTCCTGCATCATGTGTCTTTCTTCACTTACCCAAAATTGTCACATTCACACATTTTCCTCCACACATTAAATTTTTACTTTGATAACTTCAATAACTATGAATTACAAGTACAGTACTCTAAATATATAATTGAGCATGAAACTTTACACAATTTAATTTTTTGTTTAATTAAATACAAAACTTTTCTTATCTGCAGTCTAATAGGCATATTAAGTATATAGAGAACTTTCAGCCCATTAAACAAATCAATATTTTTGTGTTAGCATTTTAAGTTTCCTAATTGGGAACCGGATCTCAGTCTATTAGACACGAAAAGTTTGCCTGTGCATTCGTTTCTCAGAACTCTCTCAAATGTGCACGCTTTCAGCTGGGTCTAAGGCACTAAAGTTACATGTATTTTAAACAATCTGAAGTATCATTATGCATACCTCTGCCACTATTGTATATGCTTAAAGCTACAAATTTACCTTCAGAATTTAAAGCGGTCTTATTTTTTTTTTCAATTTAAATGTTTCTTTTCCATAGCCCCTGTGCCTACTCCTTCCTGAACACCCCTCGTAAGAGGATGGTAGGAGCAAATTTCTGCAAAAATGCTTCCCAGTAATTGCTGGAATTATATTTAATATGTGCTAATATTTAGAGGACACAATAGGCTCCGAGCTATACCAATGTATGACATGCATTTCTTATAGTGTACTGGAAAAATAATTAGGAAAAGACAAACTATTTTTCAACCTGTCCTCAGACTATGTCCATTCCATCCAGTGGTCGACCCCAAAAATGCATTCATAAATTTTAACATGCTGTTTATTCAAAACATGAATTCTCAATATTTTATATTACCATATTTTACATATTTAGGCATTCATTAGGTTAGGTGTTTAGGTTCTACTGGCGATTATTTGTAGTATATGGGTGAAGCATTTACAGCATTGTGGTTCAAAAAATTCTTCAGCGAAACACTTGTTCCAGAAGTTTTCGAACGTCATCAGTTCGAATCTTGTGTAAACCATTTTTCATTCATAATCATATACAGGGGGTTTGGTGGGTGCAAGGCATGGACTTTGAAGGACGGGCTGCTATTTTTAAATAGCAAACTTTGTAATGGTGAGGTAGCAGGGATTTAGAGGCAGTAAGCCTTGCCAGATGAACCTGACAGTTACACAAGATTACAAACAGGTGAAAAGGACTGGGTAAAGAATTGCATCTCCATAATTCCAGAAAATCCTTTGATATTCCACAAACGACTAATACACAAGATGGAGAAGCACATTAACAATTGGGAGAGTACCGGGCTTGTAAGGCAATTTACATACTAGAACTCATTAAAGATATCCGAGTGATGCAGCAAACCGATCTCGTGTTTTAGTTCCAAGGGGTCCCCTACCTCTGTATTAGTGAATAACAACTTAAGGGTAATGACCAAACATAATTGTATAAACAAAGTTTGGGAGAAGAGAGGACAGAAAGGAAATGAAATATACAAGGGAAATGGTTACGAAAATTAGAAGATAATTGTGGACAATATACAAGAGGCATAAACAGGGTAAAGTCCAACAAGTGCAAAACTTGCAAACTTGCCGATGGACTTCACACATTTAAACACCAGTTCATCCACAACACTACAGTGTACAGTAAGTCGAGGCAATTCTAAATTATGCAATACCAACATGAAATCCCAACTTTTTCCCAACTAGCCAGATTGGTAGAATAGCTACAAGATGGGTGCTGTAGACAGCTATGAAGACATTAAATGAATTCAGTCTTAATGATGCTAAGAGAAAGCGCCAAATAAAGATGCTATAAACATGATACTAAAAGCAACATAAAAAGGTAGAGATAGTTTTTTACAGATATAGGAAAATAGAGGCATTGGTGTGCATGATTTAGGTTCTTTGCTGTCATAAACAAGTGTAATGAGCTGGAAGCCATCATAATTCACCTCTTCATGAGCAAGTAGGATAACATGGTGCTGTACAGGATTACAATGAGAGGTAGACGCACGTCAGGTACTCCAAGGACAAGTCGGGACAAGTCACCAAGATATCCCTCACCATAAGTATTTATGAAAGAAATACCCATTTTCAACAGAAAGCTTACTTTTATAACAAACAGTTTAAAGTGAATATCTTTAAAGTCTTGTGCTTGGGCACATTTTTGAATCAAGATTAAAAAAATACATGACAGAACCCTAATGTATCCTTACCAAGAAAAGAAACTTGTTATACATTACCTTTTGTTGAGAAAGTTCAACTTTCATGCCATTTTTAAGTTTTTCTTTCTCTTGTTCCAATTTTGCCTTATGGATTGCTTTCATTCGCTGCTTATCTATCTGTCCCTGTGCCTTTGCCATGTCCAGTTCTTCACGCTAAAAAGGTAAAAAAAGTTAATTTTATATAAATATAACCATTATTCACACTTTTCCATAAATTATCAACATCCTGAGTAGAGCTAAGTAAACTAATTTCTTCATAATAAAGTACATTAAGTTTTTATAAAAATAAGGCACCAACCACAAAGATAATTTAACACCATCTGTGTTGCAGAATATCCAAAGGTTGTAAATATTACTCCAAATGACAAGACGAGAGCAAAAACATGCAAGACGAGCGACATCACCAGCATCATCCGAATTGCCAAGTATTCTATTAAGGTACAAGAGACCCCACAAAGAATTACGTCGAGTCGTCAATGAATTGGGAATTTTCCTGATTTTATTCAGCTGTACGCAGTACTAGAGTTTCCTAATGATCACTTCAACTACCACCACACTTAATGCTTTAGCATTCCAGTAATTCTAAAATGTGTCATCCATTTTGAAATTTCCAAAAATTACTTTAGATATATTTATATAGCAGTGTAAGCATAGCTTAACAGGACCAGTCAAAGACCACCTTGGCCAACTACTATTTATTCTAGAGGATAGTTGCTTGGTCCCAGTTTTTGCCTTGCTCTGCAATTTATCTGCCATAAAAGAATGGAAGTTTCTTTTAAGTGAGATCATGTGCACACATTTCCATTTCAGATTTAGAAAAATGAGGCATGTTGAAACATAAGGAATGTCAAAATGTTCATAAACATTCATATATCAGCATATTTTACTGTATAATCTTGCAAAACAAAATGTATATTGGCATCTCTAATATATCAAATTATTAATTTGCCAAGTGGGACCTAGAGATGCCCAAAACATTTATGATTGGGTACACACCAACATGTCAGAACATTAACCCCTGCACTAACAACCCTTCTTCAGAATAGACAGTACGTTTTAATGCTAAATGTAATAAGTACATTCCTGACTGTCTGCATAGTACAAACAATTGTGCTGTTACATTTAACTCCCCATATATTCAAATTTTCTGTTAAAATACACAACTTTTAGGTTGAAGTTTTCATGTTCAATTCTATATACACAAGTTTTAAAGAATTTCAGTTTTATTTAATAGAGATTTTATACAAAATTTAAAAATATCCAGAGTTACTTTATAATTTATTGAAAGACTTTATGAAACTAATAAAACTAAACTTGTAACATCAATATAGCTATAGGTTAAGTACTAATTGTAAGAAGCAATAAATGCTATTTACATGCTTGTCCCCCTACACACTCGAGGTTAGGTCAGGTCGTGGTGTTCTATACAGCTTTTCAGGTAAACTGATATTCACAATATTTTGGTGCGATGCTGACGATTTAGTGTATTTATATACTATGCCGATAGTCAGGATTGTACTTATTACACTTGGTATTAAAACTTATTGTCTATTCGGAGGATGGGCCGAATTAAAGCATTTCGGGAGGCATTCCACACGAACATGAATAAAATTTTAAAAATTTGTCTTTTCATTAAACTTTTCCATACAATTATATGAATTTATCAAATTACACACTACAGTGGTACCTCAGTTTCCGAATTTAATCCGTTCCCAGAGACGGTTTGCAAGTCGAAAATTCATAAACTGAAATGAATTTCCCCGTAAATAATGGAAATTGAATTAATTCATTCCAGAATAAAATAAAACTTCTAAGTACTGTAAATTTTATACCTAATTCACCCAAATCTTCAGTATTAAAATATGTACAAGTTATTACCTGCCTTTACTGATGACTTGTTGGCATATGGAAGATGGTGAGGAGGGGGGGGGGGGAGGAAGAGAGGTGTGTGTGTTTTTAAGGGGAGTCCCCTTCCATTATAACACAAGGAAGTGAAGACTTCTGGGGTACACACACCTACGTTTTGCAGGCATACCCCTAGAACCTGCTTGTGGCTCACCGATTTTCTCACGATAAAACAATCCATAAAGGATTTTTTTTCCCCTTCATTGTAACACTTCTGTAGTGAGGCATCACATCGTCATTAACACTTTCGCCCGGGCATGACGCAGCATTGCGTCATCCGTTTACTGTCGGTAATACCGGGGATGACGCAGCATTGCGTCATCCACTTTAAATAATCGCCAAAAATCAGGTTTTTATCCGATTTTTTGGGGACTGGTTTTAAAATGCGCACCGATGTCTTCCCATTTTCTTTGTCGAGCCTAGTGGCCCTCACACGGCTTGGCACACTCCGTGGGCCCATTGTTTTCGCTCCACTGTTGTGACCAATGTCGCCTCCCCGCGCATCTCAAACGTGTGAACATTTCGGCTATTTTCCGTGGCTATATTTCTTACTGCGGCTTTAGAAACTATCTACGCTTACTCCACGATGGATAGTGATCATGAACAAGGCCCTTCCAGGAAGAAAATTGCAAAAGAAAGGCTTGAAAAGGGCGGGAATTGGGAGTGTAGCTGGAAGGCGTCTGAGCGCTCACTTGCGGCTAGCGCGTGGCCCGTCTTCAACTCGTCGGCGGTTGGAGCGTGACCAGGTTTTTTTTATTTTATATGCTAATGTTCCTCTAGAGAATTCTATTGCAAACCCATTGAGACCAAAATGAAAGACCTAGGACGAAAATTGAGGTGACCAGAGTGAAAATAGTGAAAACATTTTATCGCATTTGCGCGCTCCTGGGTAACTCGTTCGCACTTTGTTTGCTGCGGGTAATTAGCCGGGCTTTTGGAGTTTATATGCATTTAGTGCTGTAGAGAATTCTATTGCGAACACAATGATACAAAATTTAATCTCATAGGACGAGAATTTAGGTGACAAAGTTGGAGAGTATACACTTTTCAGAATTTACGCACGCTCCCGTGACACCCTGGGTCCCATATCGCACAGTTGAGGGGTGGCGCGCGGGGTACGCCAAAGTGTTAAAAAGATTAATGCAACGACAGCTTGCTCTGGGCAAGTCATTTCAACAAATGCTTGCACTTCCTAATTGTTGAAGGGATTCTACTGCCTCCTCCTCGCCCTGAAGACATTTCCTCAGCTGCCTCTTGTGAGAATGACAAGGAACAGCAGGATATGTTTTCTTGGCTTTAACCTTACCACTGGCTTTCTTGAGACCCATGGAAAGATAACATTTTATATTCAAATAGCCAAAAATAAAAAAATAAAGCATTCTTTACAAAGAATTCAGGCACGATTGTCACTAGGCGGGAGGCACTGGTAAATTGAGACGCGATCTCCATACCACCACGTGCTAGGTCGGCCATACACGCATCAACAAACTCGTTTCGAGGAAAAGTTCATAACCAGATTCGAATTTTCCAAAGAAATTAGGCTCGTAACCCGAAAAGTTCGTAAATAGGGGCATTCGTAAGCCGAGGTGTCACTATTATCAGGTTGCTAATAATAGCAACCTTGTGCCTAGAATTAGTGATGTGCGTAGTATTTAATGGCTCATTTTGTGTCTGCCAGTGGTGCATGTGCACCCTTCATACCAACAACTATACTGTCTTTGGATTTCATTACTACACCAGAATGGCTTAGCGATTCGTAATCGTGCATGGTAGTCTACGTCCACAGCTAGTAACCCTGGGACGAGTCCAATCTCCGGGGTCAGTTATCTTTAGACGATTTTGGGGCTTAGCATCCCCACGGCCTGGTCCTCTACCAGGCCTCTTATTATACACCATCAGAAAGCAGCCTGTAGCACCTGTAACTCCCAGGTACCTATTTACTGCTAAATGAATAGGGGCATCAGGGTGAAAAACTGTGCCCATTTGTTTCCGCTACCACCGGGAATCAAACCCGGAACCTTAGGACTACGAATCCCGAGTGCTGTCTATTAGGCTCTCGAACCCAAACAGGTCAAACTGTTTGGTATGTTACCTTTCCCTCGTCTCTGCTTACCATTTATATAAAATCATTTATATAAATGATTTAGTTTCAGGTTTGAGCAACAATACTTGCAAATTTGCAAACACAAAAATCGGGAGGGTAATAAACATGGAAGACCAACTCACTTCAAGACTAATTAGTTTTGAAATGGTCAAAAGATTGACAGATGCAGTTTAACGCTGACAAATTAAAGGTTTTGAGGCTAGGTAATGATAGTTTCAAGATACGAGTTAGATGGTGTCGAGATTGTGAAGTCGGATTGCTAAAGTAATCTGGTTATGATTAGTAAGAATTTAAAACAAAAAAATCAATGCATAAATGTTCGTAATACGGCAAATAGGACACTGGGACTTATTAATCGAAGTGTTAGTATCGAGACACCTGATGGTGTTCTTCAGCTATATCTTGCTCTGATTAGGCCCCATTTAGATTGTGCATTTCAGTTTTGGTCGCCATACTATAGAATGGATATAAATTCACTTTAATGTGTCCAGCGTAGGATGACAGTTATTCCCCCAAATTAGAAACCCGTCATATGCAGAAAGTTTAACACAGCTTAAATTGCATTCACTGGAAAGGCAAAGTTAGGGGTGACATGATAGAGGTTTACAAGTGGACGAATGTACATAAGGAGACATTAATAGGGTATTAAAAGTATCAACAAGACAGAACACAAACCAATGGGTATAAACTGTATAAGTTTAGATTTAGGAAAGACCTGGGGTAAATACTGGTTCCGTAACAGGGTTGTCGATTTGTGGAACCAATTACCGTGTAACGTGCTGGAGGTAAGGGACCCTTGATTGTTTCCAATGTGGATTGAACATGTATACGAGTGGGATTAGGTGGTTATAAATAAGAGCTGCCTCGTATGGGCCAATAGGCTTTCTGCAGTTACCTTTATTTTTATGTTTTAGCAATAAATAAGTACACCAAATATTAGACAATTTTGGGGGGTTGTATACTGGGGAAGGTCAGTAGTTGGGCCTAAGTACAGGCATCTTGTCCTTGAGAATTTGAAATATGCATTACATTATCTTTTACAGTGTACCTGTCAACCTTTTTTGAGGAAGTAAATAATTATCAAAAGAAGGCACCAAACCGGGAAGGCTATGTAGCACCATCAAATAAGCAAAATAATCAGAGG